TACATGCTGGAGAGTTCCTATGGAATATAACAAAAATGCAGCTTACTCACAGGTCAGTGCCAGTCAATCTTCCTTGCATGTGCACCAACTCCCTGTACTTAGCTGAAAAAATGGGAAGTGACCAGTGGTGAAAGTAACTTGTGCAACTTGGATTTCCTGGATTAGAATATCATTTTGAAATGCACACTGTAGCCTGTGCGCTGTTTCATGTCCAACACTGGAAGTACAAATTGCATTTTCCAGTCATGTTTGTTTGCAGGACAATGCAATTAAGCATCTTCTACCATGTGTAATTTTTCAAGAGCTTTTTCTCATATGAAAGACAGCATTTTGATGAAGTTAGTGCGTGTGGGTCTTTGGGTGTTTCTGCAATAGTAAATTGTTGTAAAAACAGGCATCTTTTTCTCACTTTTATATTGTTTCCTGATGTATTTTAGCTTTTTTTTTGGACCAGTGACCAGTGCCATCTTAGCTGGCGTCAGTCTTCCTCTAAGTCTCCAGAATACAGCTCCTTGTAGTGACATGGATGCCCTCTCTGGTGAGTGACCATCTCCTTTCTTTCTTTGAGCACCCAAAGAGTTATGTTTTTCAAGAAAAAGCTGATTATGATTATGACCCTTATTTAATTTACCCTAAACCTTCTAGTACTTGATTTTCTTGTGGGCCTGCCTGCCTTCATGCTGCAGTCTTTGACAGCAGTTTTAAATAGTCCAGTTACACCTGTAGGTGAAATTACAGTTTTCTGAACTCTGCAGTAAAATTTTATTCTTTAAGTGTTGTTTGTGGTATGAATAAGCAGGAAACTGCTCATGGTCAGAATGAAACTTAAAGATATTACTTAGGATAATCCCCTATCTTCCTAAAGCACCCTTTCAAGTCAGGCTACGTGCAACTGTTGGAGTTGTTGTGGAGCCTGGTGAGGCTGCACGTCCAGAGAGGACTTTTCTTATTCTGTAAAATTGGCTAAAGCTCAACTTTAGATTAAGCATTTATTTTGAATAACATCTGTAGTGCTGATTTCTGAAAAGGGCACAAGGTACCACTTACATCTAGCTCCAGCTGGCAATTTCACATGAGGAGCTACCATTTGAACCACAAGTGCAAAAAATACATTGTAAGAGTCACAGGATTTCAAGGTCGCGTGGTTATTTTTGTTTTAAAGAGCTGTACTTGGGAATCTCTTACCTCAGATGAGCTCATGTTTATATGACTAAGTCTCCCCTGGAAGCCCATGAAACAAAAGAATTTTGAAGATAATCCATGTGGATCTGAGAACACAGAAAAATTGGCTGTGGAACAAAAAAAATAGTCTTAACTTTATTTACAGAGGCATAATCTGAAAATGTCTGCTCACTTTTACAGTGTTCCATTGCTGTCATGCAGGCTGCATTCCTG